AGAGAACTACGCATACCGAGCAAAAAATCTCGAATAATTTGAAAATTTTGAATTCAAACGCTCACAGCATAGTTAAATACATGCCATCTCTTATCCAACCGTAGGGCTACTTGCGGCCTAGTGGTAAAGCCAACCTTGTGCTAGACGCGGGTTCGAATCTGGCCATTTGCTTCTTATTTCTTTTTGAGGATGCAAAAGTTAAAAAACAATGCTAAATTGTGGGGCGACCAGGGTTCGATCTCGGGACTTCTACACAGGTGGTAGCAGCTACCTAATAGCCACTAGGCCAGAGAACCGTTAGTGTTATTTAGGACTGATAAGCCTATCTATATCTACTTCAAAAAAATTTGAATTCAAAATTTGATTTGAAATTTCGTGCGAAATTTTTCCGGAATTTCGTGGTAACCGCAAATTCCGGTGGCCCACGAGAAAAAAGGTTCGCTCGGGATCCAAAACCTTGGTTGATGTACAGGCAACGCTCTTCAGATTTAGGCTGTGCGTCATGGCGGGGGCAGCTAGTTGAGATGAAGCACACCACATTGTTAGACTGAACGAGTCATCCGCTGCCTAAATACTTCAGCTAGTCATGTGCTGCCGCTGCTCTACTCTCTCTCTCTCTCTCTGTACTCTTCTTATATACTTGTAACCCCTTTGTGGATGAATACAATAAGTTCGCAGGCTATTCTAGTGACTGCATGCACACTAGATATAATTTACACACATGAGCTGAGAAGCACGTGCCTGAAGATGGCTTAGTTCGTTGCTGCACTGTGCGTGAAGATGGATTAAGCCGAGCTGCAGCCAGCAGGGGCCACTGCTACCTAGTAGTAATGAAATAAAATCGTTTGGGCTGGGGGGGCCACGGCCCCCTCAGGTCATAACATAGCTCCGCCGTTGCCTGGCGGCCTCGCCGACGAGCCTCTGTCCGTCGTCGGTGAAGGCGACCCACGCGGGGGTGACGCGGTTGCCCTGGTCGTCGGGGACGATCTTGATGGAGCCGTCCGGGTGTACGGTGGCAATGCACGAGTGTGTCGCGCCGAGTGCGATGCCGAGCACCTCGTCGCCAGTCTCGCCGGACCGGCGCCTGCTCTCTGTGACGAGGAAGCTCGATGCCGTGAGGGGTAGGAGGAGGAACCAGATGACGAGCAGTGCCTCCACAGCACGACGAGCCATGGACTTGGCCCATATCGATTTGGAGGACAGCTTTTTTCGAAAAGGGGCGCTTTATTACTTAAAGGATTTAAGCATTACACCCGGCCTCTGCATAACTAAGATGCGCACAGCCAAATAAGATCCTCTCACATAAAATAAAAATAAAGAGGCGAATTACAACGAAACATGTAGAGTCCGTATAACACCTAATGTGGAGGGGGGTCAATCCTTAGATCATGCTGTCACCCATGTTGGGTAAAAGTATCCCTCGCCGTAGCCTCCAATCGTGTACACACCTTCGTAAACAAGTCTCGATTCTCCATGCGTTGTAAAGAGGACCATAAACGAAGAGTCCCGGTACATCTGTAGATAACCTGCAACAGAGAAGTACTTTTATCGTTAAAAATCTTATCATTTCTACATAGCCAAAGCGACCAAATAACGACAAGCGCTCCCATCCTGAAAAGAGTTTTAAACCTGTGATCAATCCCATGTAACCAGTTGCCAAATACATTAGCAACACTACATGAAGGATACAAGCCAGAAGCTATTTGGATGACTGACCATATAGAACGAGCCAATTTGCATTGGAAGAATAAATGTTTTATTGTCTCCCCATGGTGACAAAATACACATTGCGGGCTTCCATGCCAATTCCTCTTAATAAGGTTATCTTTAGTAAGAATAACTCCGCGACGAAGATACCATGCAAAGATTTTATTCTTAAGAGGTATCTTCATCTTCCAGATCTTCTTATTATTAACAACTGGCACATCGGACTGGATTAACGCTCTATACATAGAATCCACTGAGAATTGTCCATTTCCATGGAGGTTCCATCGGAATACATCAGACCCATGTGAGAATTGCACCGTGGACAACCGTTGGAGCAGGATATTCCACGAATGGAGTCTAGGTCCAATTAAGTCTCTTCTGAACGTCACATTTGGCGGAAATGATTCCATTACCGTGGCGATAGTATCACCTTTGTGGCGCACAATACTGTATAGAGCCGGATATTGTTCCCGGAGTGTGGCATTTCCTAGCCACTTGTCCTCCCAGAATCTAATTTCCGAGCCGTCCTTAATCGAGAAGGATCCATAGCAGAAGAAATATTTCTTCGTAGCCATTAGACCTGCCCAAAGGTGTGAATCCCCAGGCTTCCAATATACTTGGGATACCGCCTTGGAACCCACATATTTTCTCCTTAGGAGGGTTTGCCATACACCATCTTCCGTTAGTAATTTAAACAACCATTTGCCGAGGAGGGCCCTATTCTTAACGTCAAGGTCATGAATGCCCAACCCACCTTTGTCTTTGGGACGGCAAACCACACTCCATTTAGCCAGTCGATATTTCTTTCTCTCGCTATCTCCTTGCCAAAAAAATCTTGATCGGAAGTAATCCAATCTATGTAAAACTCCTTTCGGTAACTGGAAGAAGGAAATCATATATAGTACCATATTACTAAGTACTGAATTTATGAGGACCAATCTTCCACCCAGAGACAGCAGTTTACCTTTCCAACTGCTAAGTCTTTTTTGCAGTCTCTCCTCAACGTGTTTCCATTCAGCATTTGTGAGTCTCCGGTAATGTATCGGTATCCCCAAATATGTGATCGGAAACTGACCCAACCCGCATCCGAACAGTTCAGCATACAGGTGGGCCTCGTCTTGAGCCTCGCCGAAGCAAAACAATTCACTTTTATGAAAATTGATCTTTAGACCCGAGAGTTGCTCGAATGCTGATAAAACCAGTTTCAGATTTCTTGCTTTCTCGAGGTCATGATCCATGAAGAGAATCGTATCATCAGCATATTGAAGTATAGAGAGACCACCATCAACTAAATGATTTACTACCCCATCAATTTGGCCATTAACCTTGGCACGCTCAATCATGACCGCTAGCATATCCGCCACTATATTGAATAGCATGGGCGATATCGAGTCACCCTGTCGCAATCCCTTCTTCATTTGGAAATAGTGTCCAACGTCATCATTGACCTTAATGGCAACACTACCTCCAGAAATGAAGCTATGGATCATCGCGCGTCACTCTGCAGAAAATCCTTTCATTCTGAGAGTCTGTTGAAGAAAAGGCCACTTGAGTTTGTCATAAGCCTTTTCAAAGTCTATTTTGAGTACCACCCCATTTAACTTTTTCCGGTGTAATTCATGGACTGTTTCATGAAGGATAACAACTCCATCTAGGATGTGTCTGCCTTGCATAAAAGCTGTTTGTGAAGGCCGAACCACATGTTCAGCAACCGAATTCAGCCTAATGGTCGCAACCTTCGTGAATATTTTAAAACTAACATTAAGGAGGCAAATAGGTCTATATTGTTGTATCCTTTCAGCCTCATTAACCTTAGGTAATAAAATAATCTCACCGAAGTTTAAGCGAAACAATTCTAATTGGCCAGCATGTAGGTCGGTAAACAAAAGTAGGAGATCCGGTTTGATGACTTCCTAGAATTTCTGATAGAACTTAGCGGGAAAACCATCCGGACCCGAGGCTTTGTTATGCTCCATTAGGAAAACCGCCTTTCTAACTTCCTCCTCGGAGTATGGGGCTATTAGAAGGTTGTTTTCCTCATCAGAGACCTGAGGGATGTCATCTGTTCGGGTCTCATCCATCGAGAAGTTTCCTTCCTCTGGGGCTCCGAACAGATTTTTATAATAATTAGTGATGTAAGATTTAAGTTGCTCATGCCCCTCAATCACTCCCTCATCCTGTTGTAGGGAATGAATAGTTTTCTTCCGGTGTCTGCCATTGGCGACTCCATGGAAATATCTAGTATTCGAATCACCTTTCAGGATAAATTGAGAGTTAGAATGTTGGTAGCATTTGAGTTCCTCTTCACGCAGCATGTTAGCTATCTGTGCATTCGAATGATTCTTGATCTCAATTTCATGCTCAGATAGAGGTCTAACCTCTGCTAAACCTTCTAATTCATCAATGATAGACGAAAGACGAAGCTTCTCCTTTTTGAGGATACCCACTGTATGCCTGGCCCAACCACCAAGGAATTTACGTAATGCACGCATTTTGTTATTCCATCTGTGTATTGGGGTAGGTCCGACGACTGGTTTCTCCCACACCTCCTTGACCATGTCATGGAAGCCACCCCGAAGCAACCACCCAAGTTCGAACTTGAACTTGCGTCTATGTTGTGGTCGTGGCAACCCAGTAGTTAGAAGAATGGGTGCGTGGTCTGATATAGCCTCGATACGAGGTAGAGCACGAACAGAAACCAGAGGAAATATTGATTCCTAGTCGGTATCCATTAAAACACGATCTAGTTTCTCATATGTCGGTTCCGGAAGACTGTTCGCCCACGTGAATTGTCTTCCAATCATAGAAACCTCTCGCAAATCTAGACTGTCGATGACAGCATTGAAAAGGAAAGGCCAATGATTATCGAACCTACCGCGGCTTTTCTCATTTGGAAATCGAAGCAAGTTGAAATCCCCACCTATAAGAATGGGATAGGGATTATCTTTCGCTAGATTAACCAATTCACGAAGAAAATCAGCCTTGAACTCATCCTGGGCTGCCCCATACACGGTGACGAGGGTCCATGTGAAGTTGTCGGCCTTGCTGCGAATATGGAGTTTAACGTGAAACTCACCATTCGAACTAGCCAAAACATCCATAGTTCCTGTATTTATGCCAAGTAAAATGCCCCCAGAACGACCTCTAGGCGGTCGCGAAACCCAAGTAAAGTCTATCCCGCCAGAAAGACGGTTAAGCAGACTTACTAAGAAATCACGTCTCCCTGTTACAGAGATAGCCAAAAAATCAAAATTGTATTCCCTACTACATTCTGCAATGAATAAATGTTTAGCCAAGTCATGAAGACCTCTGCTATTAAAAAACATACCATTCATGAGGAAACAATGGGAGATTTAGAACACTTTGCCCTCTTATGGGACTTACTATCTTTTTTCGAACATGCGGTCTTTGATTTACGTCCGGATGTTGTAAGCTCAATCAATGAACTAAGCCCGGGTTCATCTAGACCCACGTCCGAAACCGCCCCTACTAAATGAGAGAGTAGCTGACCATCTGATGTGGCATGCAGCTTCTCCTCATCAGTACGGGATACATAAGACTTGTTAGAAACACGTGGAGTAACTTTTAATCGATCATATTCCAAATGTTTCAAAGCGTTAGTCGAAATAGAATGTTAGAATAAACCTTGCAAGTTCAGTTAGTTCAGTTAGCGTTAGCTGCATTTTCTTCTTCAGTTTCGTCAGGTTCGTCAGTTTCGTCAGTAGCGAGATTAGCTCGAGGTTCCAACAACTTAGACCGAGTCCTGCGCCCTACTGATTCGTTCGTGGGATGGCACGAACAATGTGGATCGTAGTGGCGCAAAGTCTGGAGGCCACGAGCCCCATTTCCTTCATTGTACTGAATAAATACAGAAAGAAAGAGATCAGAAAAGTGCGGCAAGTTTGCGCAGGAAAAACCTCGTCTTCCACCTCGGTCTAGCTAGTTCGTCGTGTCAACTCCGTCAATTGGCATCAGAGCCAGTTCCTGACCTTGGGAATGGCAGGCCCTGACGATTCCAGTGGTAGCAAATTGCTGGCCACTCCGCGGGCACGGGTCTCCGACGGCAACGAGCTTGCTGTCGCTGAGAGACCCACGGCGCGGATGGCGCGCGACATCGGCAGTGCGGCGTGGCCGTAGCTAACCCGAACCAACTACACCGACTGGGCCGTCCTTATGCAGGTCATGTTGGAGGGCCGCTTTCTCTGGGATGCCATGCAGACGGGCACGGCGGAGCGCAGCGACGATCGGCTGGCGCTCGAGGCAATCTTGCGCGGGGTGCCACCGGAGATGGCGCCTACACTCGCTGGCAAGGCCACGACGAAGGAGGCTTGGGACACAATCAAGATGATGCGCCTCGCCGTGGTGCGCGTCCGCGAGGCCAAGCTCGCGACCATCTCCAAGCAGTACAGCGACATCCGCTTCACCGACGGCGAGACCGTTGATGATTTTGCCATGAGGATCTCGAA